ATCTTTTAGAAGTAGTGGTGACTGAAAACCCCATAAATCGAATTTATTAAACCAAGAATCAAACATTAAAAGAGTGCCACTCGAAAATATTTATCCACTGTCCGGAGATATATATCCACTGTCATCTCAGTGTTAAATATAAATTAAAATATAAATTGATTGATTGGTAGAGTAACGATTTTCAACAAAGTAACGATTTGATTAAAAGTAAATTTTAAGAAAATATAAAAAAAGTTCTTTTTTTAAATTTTTTTTTAACAAACTTATGCTCAATTCGTTCCAGTGCACTTTAGCCAGGATGGCGACACTTATTTAACAAACTTTATAAACAACTAGAAATGCAAAACTATTTGCCTTTAAAAGTTTAATAAACCTTATTCTTTATACAACAAGAATCTAGTATATGTCGTTTCACTTAGAATCTAATAAGTTGCTTTACTAAATTTTTCAATCAAAATTCTCTGTTTCGAAAAAGTTTTGACCCGCAAAATGGGCATTGACAACGCCTCCCTAATATAAATTAAAGCCTCCACACTCTTTCTTATAGGTAGTCTGATCAGGCCACTATGAAAGCAAATCAAATTACGAAAGAGTCATTTAATATAAAATTCGATATAAGTAAGAAAGTGGTTGAAAATATATATCTAAAACAATTCTTTAATGTATGAATATTATTAGTTTGACTTATTTACTAGTCAACCACCACAGATTCAATTCTCAAACATATATCACAAATTTCTTTCAATTGCTTTTAGAATCTGGGTTCATGCGCATAACTGGTTCACTTTATAAATAATCGGCGCAAGACTACCTATGAAAAACCGAGTGGAGGCTCTCTGATGTAGGCAGTGAGCTAAAAAATGCTGAGAACCTATGGTCTAGAGCAGGGGTCTCCAAACTACGGCCCGAGGGCCACTTCCGGCCCGCGGGGAGCTAGCATACTTGAAAACTCCTTTTAGAGAACATATTTTTTATAGCAAATTAAATTTAGTTTACTGAAGTGTTCTAATTTTATGTTGAATAATTATTAATATGACATCTACATTGATATGGTCATGGGCTAACTACTCATAACATTGTTGTAGGCTTATTGTTATTGTTTTTGTGATAAGTTGGATAAAGAAACACAGAATTGTAATGAGTAAAGACATGTATAATATGCAGAAAATTTAACTTCAGTATATAATAACTAACAAATTATTGAAATGAATCCAACTAACATTTTATACATTTTAAATAAAAACATAACTTATAACAAGCATAATGACATATGAAATACTAATGAGATTTATGTAATTGAGATTTTCCACTGACAATAGTTTGTAGTTGTGGACTAATTTTACTTGTACCAATTATTAAAAGAGATTTAAGATGCTCATCAGTTAATTTAGATCTGTAAACATTTTTTGTGTACTTCATTTTGGAGAAGGTCTTCTCACACAAATAAGTAGTACCAAAAACAGAAAACAGCCCACGATCAAATTTATGCAAATTATCAAATTGTGTCAGTGGAAGACTTATAAAATTCCAGCAAAGATGAGTTTTGATATTTGTTCTTAATTATATCACTGCACTGTAGATCAATCATTTCCATTTGAAGTTCCGGGGCTAGGGTTTCAATGTCAGTATCAAAAGGATTCTGAAAAATCTTAATTTGATTCGCAATGGCATCAAAGTCCGAGAAACGAGTATCAAAATTTATTTTCAAAGCACTCAAAGTTTCGATTGCAAAATCGATAGGAAACTCAGTCTCAGTGGTGTGGCTGAATATTTCACATGTTTTAAAATGTGAAAAACATTTACTTCGTAGTTGTGATTGAAACAGTATCAATTTCTTCCGGAATGATTTGATATTAGTGTATAAATCAGGAAGATGCTGGTTTTCTCCTTGCAATCTCAAATTCAGTTCGTTCACATGTTTTGTCAAATCAACATAAAATGCTAACTTCCACAGCCATGCGTTGTTTTGTAATTCAGTAAGAGGGCGATGCTTTACATTAAAAAAAAAATTCCATCACTGCTCGAAGTTCAAAAAAGTGCTGAAATACTTTTCCACAACTAAGCCAACGTACGGCAGTATGATAAGGTAAGTCATTTTCTCCAATCTCTGCAATAAATTGTCGGAATTGTCGGAGATTCAGCCCAAAAGATCTGATAAAATTAACAGTTGATATGATTGGTTTCAGAGCTTCAGACATATCCAAACATTTTCCGCACAAAGACTGTTGATGAATGATACAATGTAAGACAAATGGTTTTGAACCACCGTAATTTTCTACAGCCTTTGTTTCATAATGACGTTTAATGTTATATTCTTTGAGAACGGCTATGTTTTCATTGCAAATCAAACATAGCGCCTTGTTACTGGACTCAATTACGAAATACTGAATGTTCCACTGATCTTTGAATTTTCTGCATTCACTATCAATTTTTCGCTTCTTTTCCATACTACTAAATCACACACAAAAGCAACAATTCAAATCAAAATACTGTTACAAAGATGTCTTAAACTTAAACACGTTTTAAGGAGGTACGCGTTTTAACGCACTATTTTATTTCACAACAGTGTCATAAGAACTGACTTGTGGTTGCGCCACTAGCCTTCTTATATATTCCAATTACTGCCATCTAGAAGTGAGTGGAACTTTCTCGAACCAACGAGATTATTCTGTACGTGCTATTAGCGCCATCTGTTAGCGATAGAAGGTACTACCTATTTCCGCTTGTGTCCACCAGATGTCGTGTCACGTCACTCCTCATGGCTCGTACTCTACGACTAATCTAGAAATTACAGATAATGACAGGAAAATTAATAATATGCAGTGTTGCCGTTTTGCTGACTTTAGTCCGATTTGCAGCCTTTTTTAAACGTTGTGTACTTTTTCGGACTTTTTTTTTCATCATTGGACTATTTCACTTTTTACCACCGGCAACAATGATAATATGGTTTTGGCCCTCGGAACTTACTGGAGTAATCAGTATGGCCCTAAGGCTGGAAAGTTTGGAGACCCCTGGTCTAGAGCAGTGGTTTCCAACTGGCTGCCCGGGGGTCGCATCCGGCCAGCGAAGCTTTTTTTTGTGCCCCGCGAACTGAAATATATTACTTGTCATTTTTTTGCGGACAATTTTCGTAGAAAATCTGTATATGTTTAAAATACTTTTCTCGTTAATAAAAGTCTAATTTCTTCGTTTCTGTGAAATTTAACATACCAACGGTGCAAAAAAATTTATTTCTCAGGTTTTGCATTCAAGAAAATTTTTATTCAAATACAAAAATAATCCTGTATGTTGCTCTTTTTCATTTAATTTTTTTGTATTTTGTGAATATAATTTAGCATGTGCGAATCAGATATTTTCTTCAAGAAATTCTCCGATTTAACTTTTTAGAACCACTCATTTTGGACGAAAATATTTACACATACATTTGTAAATCTTAAATTTAAAATGTAAATATCTATTCTCTGGTGGTTGCAGCAGACAAACCTCAATTTTCTCATTGAACATTTTGTGTGCTACTATGTAAGTTTTAATACCAACCTTTTTGGAGTTTTATATCTTAACAATTAGATATCTGTTGCACATTAATTGTTTAATACATAGGTGCACATTAAAGTTATTGTAGCCCGAATTTTTTAATATGCAATTAAATATTTTTAAAAATCTACTTCTTATTTTAATTTGTAATTCAATACTTTTGTTTTGTACATCTTGGTAAAAATATGACAGTAATATTTAATGTTCCTTCAAGCATAAAAGAGTCCTACATAAAATTTTGATAAAGTGGTGGCCCGCCATTTGATTTGTGTTTTTAATTGTGGACCCCGACCTCATGTAAGTTGGAAACCCCTGGTATAGATCAAGGAAACACTTGCTGCTTTGAGGCATCAGACGCAATTCGTGTTGATGCTCAGACACAGGGGCATTTGATGCCCATTAATGGACCCTGGAAGATTTGTACCACTGAAATTAAGCGGTGTTTGTAACTTGTTTCTTAACTATATAAACGTTAAACGTAGTTAAATAAATAATACCAAGAAACAGAAGCGGTAAAATATTATTTGTTTAAAAACTTAACTTCAAAAACATTTCAATAGGTAATAACATTCGACATATATCCAGCTCTCAAAAAGAGGCAACCATTTTCAAAATTTGCCATACGTGAATGAGAAGAAACGAGAGTGATTTTAAAGATTAAACGTAAAGTTACCAACGAAAAACGGAAGAATAAAGGTGAGAATCAAAACAAGAAAACTTACAATGGCCCAGAGAGGCAAATTAAGATAAAATGCATTTTCACGCTCCATGGAGAGGAGCTGAGGAACTAATATTAACAAGGGAATCGTCATAGATATGAATTAAACAAGACACTTGCTTTATTCATATGAATTCATTCACCATTCACTTTTGTTTATTCTCATTCACATTTGGCACGCCTATTTTTGATCTCTTGAAACTTGTCGACTGTTATTTTCTGTTGATATATTTTTGGAGGAAGTTTTTAATCGGGTTAAATGTGTCTCAAGAATTGTTACACTACAAACTATAAAAAAAAGACAGCGACAACAGTCCTTTTGCTACATGTAGACCACTGATCAGAGCTACAGTTATTCACAAATGGAAGTCTAAATTAAAAGTGATAAATAATTTATCATGGATTTTTAAAGAATACCGACAACGGCCTTAGAAAGGGTTAAACACACATTTTTACTTATGTTTATTTTTTTTTTCAAAGCCGGTTATTGAGCGATAATGTTTTTTTTTTCAAGCACGCATTTCAAGATATACAGCATTTATCGAGAGTTTAAACCGAATGGGTCTATATCAGAGGCATCATGAATAAAACAAAAACTGATCAAACTTATTTGATGCAATTTAAGAAATATAATAAAACTATGTTTAACTTTCCTTCTGTGTAAACTAAACGATTTAATGTGTCACAGTGAATAGCAAGATCAGGAAATAAATATTGATTTTCTCTTAGTAACTGTTCTAAGTCAGGGTAATTTTTTTGCTAGACATAAAAGTAATAGTTTCATAAACACTTCAGTGCTTTCATTATTAAAAAAAATACAGGCGTCAAAAGCAAATTTAGATACGTCATAATATGGTAGCCTTACCTTCCTTAATGCTAGCTTTTTCTGTTTTGACTGGAATTCCACTGGAAAATGGACTATAGATTAGCTTTCGCGTTTTGTTTTTTAATACTTGAGTTTCGAAGTAAGTAGAAAATATTTAAATTGTATTATTAAACTATTTTTTTCTGTGTTGCAAATGTCGATTACTATTTTGGATGTTATCAATTCTTTCAAAACTTTTTTTTTTCTTCCTTTTTTTTTAAAAAAAAAGATTTGTGAAGGGCACAGTATAACACGAATTTTTTTTATTTTTAATATTAATCTTTCGCTGTGCATTATAAATGTTGGTTGCTCTCGTGGATGTTTACTAATTGTTTCGTTAATCATTTATTTTTACTGATTCGAAAAGGACATAGCAAGACACATAAAAGGAAAATTTTACCCATTCGGAATATGGATGTTTTTCACGTGCGCACACTTTTTGTTTAGATCAATTTAAGCACCATAATCTCAACTAAAGAGATATAAGAGATTGAAAAAAATTAGTCAAACATGAGCATTAATAAAAGACATCACAACAAGTTCAAATAAAAAAGTACATAATTTGTCAATTGGGTACTTGCACTTTAAGAAGAAGATCACGGATATCCAAACATGTGAACTGTGACGTCCGCTCAAGCCGATCAAATAATATGATATAATGCCGATAAGCAATATGATGTGTAAAATTTGACCTCAGTTTCTCCACATAAGTTGGAATGATAATCAACGTAAAATTAATTAAATACAGCACATCGAGTTTATTGAAATAAAATTCTTCTTCGTTTACGTCCTTTGCTTAGCTTAGACTTAATATTTGCTTCTGTATTTTCTTGTAACCATGATATATTTTTGTTTTGAGTATGAATGCATAGTTAGTTTGTTTATGTTCGGCATGGCTTCGTGTCTGTCTATGTCAGTGGTTCCCAACCTTTTGTGGACCATCGCCCCCCTCTTGGGATTGGCTAACACATATCGCCCCTTTCTCTTTTTGATCAAAAAACCATTCATTGTTGCTTGTGAGCAACCAAACACTGAAAATATGCTAAGTAAGTTATTTGATTTTAATTTAAATTGTAATGCAAATAAGGAGGCACATTTATCCTGTCATCTTTATTAATTACAAAAAAATCTGCATCTTTCTTTTTTCAAAAAAAAAAAAAAAAATGACATTTAAAACGGAATAATCAAAACAAAAGTAAATTTTTTTAAATTCATATTTTAATGTAATCAAGAAAAAGTTAAAACGTTAACAACTAAAATTTGAGAAAAAAAAATGAAGAGTGAGAAAGTACATTTTTACCACTTCATTGACTGCCATGTGCTTGATGTATTTCAAGTTAAAACTTGAATGTCTGGTTTTATGCTCGTCAGATTTAAACGCGGGTCTCCTTTGAAGCAAATGTCCAACCTATCCCTTTGATTTGTAAGCAGCTGGAAACAGAACTAAATCCTCTCTCCACTAAATATGTTGACGGGAACGAGATGAGAAGCGGCTCAGTTTGTTTCCACAATTGTGGATAAGCGTCCATAAGCTTTACCCAAGCTAACTCGTAACCGTATTTTTTAAAGACGACCTTAGCCTCAGTTATACAGGGTGTCTATAAAAGAACTCCGGGGTTTTGAGGCAAAATATTTTAATGAAATAAAAAACATACATACATGTTTTATACATGACTGAAAAGCTTACATTTTCAAGTTTTTTTTAACACTTAGTAAAGTTCTATATGAGCCCCGTTAGTGGCACGGCAGACGTCTAAACGGTATTCTACCTCTTCCCATGTCCTGGCGAGCATGTCTGGGGGGACGGTTGCCACACAATTGACTATTCGTTCCCTGAGATGTTGAACATCACGAATTTTCTCTGCATACACAAGATTCTTGATATGCCCCCAGAAGAAAAAATCCAACGGAGTCAGATCAGGGCTCCTTGGAGGCCATGGAATAGGCCCCTCCCTTCCGATCCACCTGTTGCCGAGCCGAACGTCCAATGCCTCAAGCACACGTAAACTGAAGTGTGGCGGGGCCCCATCTTGTTGAAATAACACATTGAGCCTTTTGTTGCGGAGTCGCCATCATTTCAAATTTCGCGACGTCATTTCAAGGTCAATGCCCTGCAGCGCCGCCAACAGTAGATACAAACATTCCCAATTGGTATGAGTAAAACTTTTTGAGCTACTCTTTTCAGAGAAATCGACTAAATTTTGCTATCTTTTATAGTTAGTGAGATATGAATTTTTAAAACCCCGGAGTTCTTTTATAGACACCCTGTATTTCAAATCTAAAAACCCAGTTTACAAAGCGGAAGCGAGCTTATCCACAACTTCAAAAGAGAAAGGATCGAAAATCCAATCCGAAATTTCTAATTTCATCTAATCTTTAAATCTTGATTCCATAACTGATCAAGGTGATCAATAGAAAATAAGATTTTATTTTCGAGAATCTCGATATCTGCCATTGAACACTTTTTAGGAGTTGGAAATTGCATTAGCTCTTTGCAACCAATATTTGACTTGTAGATATCAAACTTGGAGATGAATGAAGCCTTGATAATGTTAATTTTGTTTCCTTGAAGTTTTATGTTGATTTCCTTCATTTTTTCAAAACTATCAGTGAGGTACGCAGTTTCCAACTTGCGTTGCTTAAAACTCTCTCTTAAAGCAGGATCAGTGATGTCGAGAAACTCAGTAACCAAATCCAGCAATTCGAAGAAACGGCTCAGTTTCCTTTTGAAAGCCATCTCGCAGCTGTATGTAGGAGCAGGAATTCGAAATCTTCATCATTTTCACGGCAAAGTTCTCGGAACAAACGGCTATTACGAGAATTAACTTTTATTTTATTGATGCCAGAAATAACCAATTTTTCGCGGCCAAAAGTTGACGATGAATGACGTAATGAATGGTGAGATAACGTCCGGTACTTCTTTTTTAAGGTGACCCAGAAACCCAGTATGACAACCAGGCATGGTTCGAGCACCATCTGTTGCACAAGCACTTACATTTGTAAGGGAAATTTCTTTTTCCTCAAAATAGTCTTTGACCTATTTAAAAATCGACGATCCTTTTGCATCTGTGTTCAAAGTTCTTGTAAACAGCATTTCCTCGTTAATCTCCTTAATCTCATTTATGAATCTCACGTAAGCTAAAACAGCTTTGTTATCTATCACAGTTGATTCATCAATCTGCAACGCAAATTTACCTTCTTTCAAAAATCTGATGAGTTTTGATTCAACGTCGGCGGCCATCTCATCAATACGCCTGGAAAGAGTATTATTGCTCAGAGGAACAGAGTGACTTTTCAGATTTCCGCCTGCGATGCCAAAACGTATGACGAAAACGATCCTGCACTTGAATTTTTAACTATCATAATTCTTTGTCTGCACCAGAACCATAAGTGTCATATATATTTTCAATTTCTATCTCAAATAGCTTTTGTTATTAATATTATTAGCAATTTTTATCTTTTGAATACTCGTCGCCCCCTGATCGCCCCCCTAAGGATTATCGCCCCCTTGAGAAGCTATATCGCCCCCAGGTTGGGAACCACTGGTCTATGTGATAAGTAAAAAATATATAGTGAAAGAATTGCAATACTTGTGAAAGAATGTTTGTGAAAGCATATAAAGTGTGACACATAAGAGAATTGATACTTGATGGGCTTGATTTACTGAAAGTAAAATGTGAAAAACCGTTGCCAACTTGAAAAAAATGCCACATTTCAATAACCAATCAGGATCGTGGTACCCACACTACGTCACTTGCAGGTATTCCTTTTCTTGCAGTTGATTGTTTTCTAGACAGAGTTTTTTTTTTTTTATTTTCATCAGCGAGCATTTTTAAAGTTGTTTTTTTATTACATAATAATAATTTTAAATTACTTTTATGTTCTTTTTATGATTATCTTATTCAAATATACTGTCTCGGCGGCGCTGTTAATATAAATATGAATGCTGAAGAAAGACAAGAAATTTGGGAAGCCTTAAAAGCTGGAGTTGAAAACTAATACAGCCTATTGGACGAATGAAGGACAAATATCAATTGATGCAGTTTCTTCAACCATGAAGTGAAATGTTTAGCGTTTAGAAAAGTCTATCCAAAGAAGAAAAAAACATTTGACAAATGGGTAACCAGTAATCGCAATTATACGATCACAATGTTCTCTCTTTTGTGATCAATCGTAATTTCTTATAATTGTAATTTCTCTATTTTGAATTCAAATGCAGATCCCTGTTTTTATGTTTAATACTTGTTTGTGAAATAAGAGTGAATCAGTAGAGCCTTAGAGTGAATCAATTACAGAAATTTTTTTAAATAGCACATTAACTTTTACCTTTGTATTACAAATATAAGTCTTTATTTATTTACCTATATTAGATATAACTTTTCGGTATAAAGAGACAGCTACTAATAAAATTACTGAATTATAAAAATAGCAGCTTTCTAAAATCAAATTTCTCAGAACGAAATCATTGCTATATCAAAACATGCTAAAATCTTCCTTTAATAAAATTATTATCGCCGTATTGTGATATAAAATGTTTTACAAGACATTTTTTTTGTTAAAAAATAAGGATAAACAACACATTCTGGTCTGAATATTTAGGATTTTAAATTTTTTGACGTTTTAAAAGATGTGCAGCATATAAAGAACAAAAAAATCTTAGTTGCAAGTGTGTACTACACTTTCTTGGGAAAACTGAAGGTTTAGAGTTTAAAAGAATTTGAAACAGGGAACAGGAAGTGCAAAGGAACTCAAAGGAAAACTGTTTGTGAATAAATAACTGTTATAGTTACGTATAAAAAAAACTTATAAATTTTGCCTCTTAAGTTTATTCGGTAACACAAAATTTAGTGGCAAACCAATGATCGAATTATTTGCATTTGCATTTTTTTCATTAGGTGTCACAAATCTATCTGTGCCAAGCATATGCTTAGAAGTCATTACCGACAAACCAATGTTAAAATATTTGTGTGGAAAATTTCTGTCTTCCTTATTAGCAGTTGAAAACCAAAATGAACCAGGTATGTTCTAAAATTATTTTCAATTTCAAATTTGTACATAAAATGTTTGTTTGATTGAGTTATGTTTCTGATTAGGTGCCCCAAGCCATTCTGATCCAGGTATGTTCAAACATTATCTTCAATAGTAAACCACTATTTTTTCCCTCACGTTTTATGCAGCAGAGAACATTTTCAATTACAATTGACTAAATTATTAAGCAAAATATTTGTGTGATCGAGTTATGTTGTTGATTAGGTGCCCCAAGCCATTCTGATCCAGGTATGTTCAAACATTATCTTCAATAGTAAACCACTATTTTTTCCCTCACATTTTATGCAGCAGAGAACATTTTCAATTACAATTGACTAAATTATTAAGCAAAATATTTGTGTGATCGAGTTATGTTTTTGATTAGGTGCCCCAAGCCATTCTGAGCCAGGTATGTTCAAACATTATCTTAGTAGTAAACCACTATTTTTTCCCCTCTGGTTTTATGCAGCAGATATTATTTTCAATGACATTTTACTAAATTATTAAACAAAATACTTGTGTGATTTTATCAGACAAGACAAGGATCAGAGTTAATAAAGTTTCAATCCTTTTGTCATGAATGTTGTAAACTGAACCATCTGACTTCTGGCCCATTGGTCATCTACACTGACGGTAGCAAGTTCGAAGACGGTAGAACAAGGAGTGGTGTTTTTGTCAACAGCAATGATAGTGAAGTCAGGATCAGTATCCGAAACCCTGACTATTGCTCAGTCTTTATATCTGATATCATAGCTATTGGAACTGCCCTTAATTATGCCCAGACAACTGATAATAATTGCATTTTGATATTGACCGATTGTAGGAGTGCTATTCAGTATTTCAAGAACTGGCCGGAAATATTTGATATTCCTGGCCAGGAGATTATGAGGCTTCTATCTGATCCCATCGCATGTCGGGGTACAGGGCAATGAGACAGCCGATGTGCTCGCCAAGAAAGGCTGTGATCTTTCTATGGACTGTTTGAACCGTCTTACTGCCACTGAGATCCACTTACTGGGAAAACGTCGTTTGCTTCCAGTGCGGCGCCGTACTCCATCCCATCAGTGGTATGCTGGCAACAGCCCTGGCCGATCATTAACATGCTGCGGCCCTCGGCCTTTCCATTCGGCCATGGCCAGATTTCGTAGTGGCCATCTTAAGTGTTCAAGGTATTAAAATGGGTAGAAGACTTTCCAACCTCTTTCTTACTCCAACCTGCTAGTCCTGATCACCTTCTTTTTTGCCTTGGTGCTTCTTTTAAGCAGCTGCTGGTTGATTGGGACTTTCTGCAGATATATGAGGAACTGACGCGACGGGGCCTACTGGACCTGGTCTAGGCTTTCCTTCTCCAGGGGGATGACTTATTATTCATATAAGTCTTTATATCTAATTCAAGTTTACGATATTTCCGCAGCAAATTAAATAAACATGTAATATGTGTATCAGTTTAACAGATGAGTCAAAATTGCTCAACTGTAAGAAGAAAATTTATGGAAACTCAGCATTATTTTAGGAAAATATACCATATTCTATTAAATATCGTTTCTCATTTCGGACTCAATATCCTTTTTATCCATGCAAGATTTGCATCGAATAAACATAGCTTCAGACGATAAAATTTTTTTTCATTTATTAGTACCACTAAAATTTAAAAAAGAATTTTATTAAAAGAACCTCATTACCTACAGATTTGCAGAAGGTAATAATTCAGCTGATCCAAAGCGTTTACAGAGATGCCAACTGCTCCGGACACGACAAAATATTTTTAAAAAAAACGGTAAATAACTATAAAGTAAACTTTGCAAATATTTGACTACTTTTGTATGCTTTTTAAAAATTATAGCATGGCATACGTACTATAAAGTGGTGAATTATATAAGCCGAAGAATTATTGAGAAATAGTGGTGGATAAAAGTCTACTAAATTGAATTTAGTAAACCAAGAATCACAATTAATAAACTACCAATTTAAAATATATATTTGCTGTCCGGAGCAAGTTGGCATCTCTGCGTTTATAGAAATACCAACTGTTTCGGACGAGCCATAATAATTTAAAAAATGACGAACAACTACTAACTTATATTTGCAAATATTGGATTAAATTCGCTTACTTTTTAAACAGTGTGGCATGTTTTAACGGTTAAAAGAGTTGCGAATATTATAATCTCTTGAATTATTTAGAAATAGTGGTGGATAAAAAAATAATAAATTTAATTTATTAAATTAAAAATCATACATTAATAAACTACCACTTGAAAATATTTCATTTCTGTCCGAAGCAAGTTGGCATCTGTGCGTTTATTTACTTGTCAACCACCACAAATTCAGTTCTCAAATATATATCATGAATTTCTCCCTATAGCTTTTAAAGTCGAATTTGGGTTCATGCGCACAACTGGTTCACTTTTTAAAAGAACTGAAATAACATTTTGGCTGCATCTGCCACCGCTTGCTGACCTTTCACATAGGTCGCGAAAAGCAGCTGGCTGACAGCGTATAACATAATATAGAACTGTAAAATTTACACTCTTTTATGGAATTACAGGAAATTTATTCAAAATTTACTTAATTATTGTGATTCTTGGTTTAATAAATTCAATTTTGTATATTTTTATCCACCACTATTTTTAAACAATTTGTAGGCTTATAAAATTCACCTTTTTTTTGTCAGATATGTCATGAGAAAGTTTCTAAAAAAATAGCAAAATCCGTCTAATGTTTGCAAATTTAGTTTGTATTTATTTACTGTGGCCAGATGGGTAAGTTATGTAAAATTAGCGTGGCGCTCAACGTGTTAATCTGGTTAAATTCCACGCTACGAACTATGAAAAAACATAACGACAACAGTAGTTTTGCTATTTATAGACCACTGATCAGAGCTACAGTTTTTTACAAATGGGACCCTAAATTAAAAGTGATAAATAATTTACCATGAACATTAAAACTTGTGGTAAGAATTCTGACCACGGCCTTAGAATGGGTTAAACACACTTGTTTACTTATGTTTATTTTTTTAATGCCGATTATTGAACGATAGCGGTTTTTTTTCAAACACGCATTTCAAGATATACAGCATTAATAGAGAGCTTAAACCAAATGAATGTAGAAGAGTGGCATCATGAATAAAACAAAATTGATCAAACTTATTTGTTGCAATTTAATGGAAAAATATAATAAAACTAAGTTTAACCTTCCTTCTGTGTAAACTAAACGATTTAATGTTTCGCTGTGAATAGCAAACTCAGGAAATAAATAAACATTTACCCTTAGTAACTGTTGCAATTCACCAGTTCAGGATAATTTAATTTTGCTTGACATAAAATTAATAGTTTCATATACTCTTCAGTGTTTTTATTATAAAAACTGAAGGCGTCAAAAGCATGTTTAGATACGTCATAATATGGTACCATTACCTTCCTTAACTGCAGCTTTCTCTGTTTTGAAAGTTTATTATAAATTCGACTGGAAAATGGACTACAGATTAGCCTTCGCGTTTTGTTTTTTAATACTTCAGTTTCGAAGTAAGTTGAATTATTTAAATGGTATTATTACACAATTTTTTTTTTCTGCATTGCAAATGTGGATTACTGTTTTGGATGTTACTAATTTTTTCGCCAATATTTCGTGAGATTTGTGAAGAGCACAGTAAAACACTTAAGAAGAAATTTTTTAATAATAACCTTTCGTTTTTAAAATTTTTAATATTAATCTAATATTCATCATTATAAATGTAGGTTTCCCTCTTAGAAGTCATTAC